CTATCACCTATTCAACCGATATGATATATAAGGTATCCAAGAGATGTGATTATAGGCAACTCTATTTTGAGGGTGTGTTCACATATATTACAAAACACAAGCATTTATTAAATTTCCTCCCACATAACAAGACCATAGGTCAGAGGAGTTTCACTTTCCTAGGACCAAAAATATATAACTTAATCCCCCCTCAGATAAAAGATATTAAAAACACAAAGGCTATGAAAAAGCATCTAAGACTGTGGATTTTGGACCAGCGTAGGCTCAAGATTCATCAAGCAATTGATATAAAAAATATCTACTACTTCTGAAAGCGGAAATCTCTATCAAGATTATTGAAATTTCAGAATGAAAAAAAATGTCTGAATAAGCTGATTTGATTTCTTACCTCCTGAATTATTGCATTTCATTACTTATTTTTACCAATTTTTGTTTTTGTCTATTCGCCTAATATTGTCTTTTGTTTCAATATTGTTTCTATCCCGATTGCGTCTACGTCCCGATTTTGCGTCTCCGTCCCGATTGTGTCTTTTAAAAATTTTACCAGGTCTTGTCTAATACATTTTATATATATATATATATATGTATGTATATATATATTTAGTCTTAAGTTTTTTATACATGAGCTCATGCCCAAGCACAAGTTTCTGCGAAACTTTTTTGGGTCCATTCGTTTATTGTACAGGGTGGCGCAGAGGAAGCGCATGTTTTCTGAGTGAATAGTATTTCGCAAAGAGAAGTGGGTTGAGCTTGCCTCACCGCCAGCAGAGAACACAAGCAATGCAGTTTTAGCCATGGCACCGTAGACAACTCAGCATCGTGTGTTTGCCGTCGAGCAATTTTTCCGAAACAATGATTCTGTAGTTACCGTGCAACGTTTATTCCGTCGTCAATTCAATGTTGAACACCAAGGGTCAATTCCAGATCGAAATACGGTACTTCGATGGGTTGAGGCATTTTGAACTGCTGGATCTGTAATAAAGAAGAAGTCCACCTAGCCTTCCCCGTACCGTTCGAACACCAGGCAATATCGAAATAGTGAGAAGAACGGTCCTTGATAGTCCTCAACGTCCACTAGGCGTCAAGCTCCAGCTCTGAGCTCTACGATAATGATTGTGCAAGAGCTGGCGGAAAGTGATTTTCCACAGCGTAGACAGTTTTGTGCGAGAATGCTGACCATTTCTGCTGATGATCCTAACGTCATCATAATGTTGAGTGACGAAGCACACTTCCATTTAACGGGATATGTAAACAATCAGAACTGTAGGTATTGGGCGGCCGAAAATACTTGAGAACTACACCAACGACCCCTGCATAGTGAAAATTGTCCGTGTGGTGCGGAATTAGTAAATTAGGTATTATTGGTCGTTAATTTTTTTGAGGAGGAAGAAAGAGCAGTTACTTCAGCACTTTATGTTCACATGTTACAAAATTTTCTGTTACCCGAACTTCAACGGCAACAAGTAAACATGGGAGAACTGTACTTCCAACAAGATGGTACCACAGCTCACACAGCGAGAGCATCCATGGAATGTGTTCGACAAATGTTTCCTGAACATGTGATTTCCCGTTTCGACGATGTTCCTTACCTCCACGCTCCCCAGATTTGTTTGCATGTGACTTCCTATTGTGGGGTTACCTTAAGGCTAAAGTGTACCCTCACAAACCTCATACGTTACAGGAACTGAAAATTGCTATTCGTCAAGAACTTACAAGAATACCACAAGAAATGGTCCTACGTGTAATGCCCAACTTTCAAGAGCGGATGGAGATGTGCGAGCGCGAAGAAGGGCGACACTTGAGTGACGTAATTCACCATAATTAATTTGAAAGTGCACTATTATTACTTTATTTAACTGTAGTTAAAATAAAATTATCTTAAACATAAGAAACGTTATGCTTACGTGAAAATCATCCGTTTCCTCTGCGCCACCCTGTATAATATTATCTTTTATCTACTACTGCTATACTTTCTTCTTTTAGCAATAAGCGTTATTATTATTATTATCTGTAATTTCGAGCATCTTCCGTCAATGAAAAATTTTCTTTCATTCCGTTGAAAAGTCAGTCAAGCAGTTTCGTACAATTAGTCCGTAGACATTTTCCCCTGCCCTACCAGTAGTGTACCGCTTCTCCCCGATATCTAACTCTGGCAGACGTGCAACCGTGGTAGCGCGGTCAGAGCATAGAAGAGACTATGCTGTTGCGCTGCAGAAATAGGTGTAATTGCATAACAGAACACTTATCACTTATTTACAGATAAATCTATGTTGTGTGAAATATGTCTAATAGGTGCGTAGAATTACCATTTTTGCGGGCGTATAAATGTACCAGCATGATAATTTACACTCCCTTACAACACCCACCTTCAACTCCAAAATGTTTTCAAAAATAATCAGGATCCTCCGAAACGCCCAAAAAGTTTGAGCGATTTTTACCTTTGTCCTCTTAGCCCTGTTTCTCTGCCGCCACTGGACCAGTTTTAAACTACACAGCTTTTGCTGATAAAGTAGTAACATTGTGAAAAAATTTCATCGAGCGCTACATCTTAAGTTATAGGCGGTTATAAAATTAGCGGACAGACCGACAGACAGACGATAGACAGTCAGACCTACAGACTGACGGAAATGAGTGTCATGGTTTTTTTGTAATGTACCTGTCATAAAAAATCCGATAAGCATACTTTTGCGATTACAATATGTACTTCCACGCCAATGGGCGCAAATGGCGTAAATATAAATAATGCATACATTTATAAAAAGCATACCCCTACAGGATGGACTCAGCTTGCGGAATTTGGAAGTTGTTGAAAGCGTTGTGCCGTAGCCTTCTAACAAACTTGGTTCAAATTGATATTTTTTCAAATGCTAGGAATTTAACTGAACGAGAATGGTACTTTACTGGAACAAAAGTTGACTAAAGCTATAAGACATTTACTGAAAATCTATGCAAGATTATTTTTCCTACATCCTCATCCAATCCAGAGGCGCATTATAATATCCTGGAGTTTGGAATTTGAACAACTTTGGTCCAACGCAATGACTAGAAGTAAGTGTTCTTTATTTTAAATACCAAGTGTCGTATCTACAACCTAGTGAATTTGCGTCCCCTTCAAAGGTTATAAATTTCGTAGCACATATCCCAGACTAACAAGCATTCGTTACCGTATACGGAATCGGGGGAACTATTATATGGAAATTGTGAAATGTTTGATGCTTCGCAATTCTATTTAATGGTTCTATGATATGGAATGGTGCGCTATTGCTATTACTTTACTGCTCTCGCATATGGAGATCTGCTGCCCGTACTAGGTACATGGATTTCAATGGAAAAGTGACTGGTTCGCTTCTTGTGGCGAAAAAAAAGACATAGAAATGGTAAAAATAAAAAGACCTACCCCGAAATTTAACTTCATTGTAACCGATTGGGTGTAACAATTCCCAAATGCGATTCAGCTGAAAGGGTGAACATTATTTTGACATCATGTCCGTTTTTCCATGTTCAAAAAAACTTTTCTTAGTTTGGTTCCCGTCGGAGCTACTTTCTTGTTTGTATCACATGATTTAAACACGTTTAAGTACTGCAGATTCAACCTACTTGATACCATTTTTTCTGTGTAAATTAAAGTTCCACATATCTTACAATATCCTTCAACGCATAGTCCTCTAGGAGCTGCTATTCCCGAATGGATCACCAGATAAAACACCGCATTTTGTGGGAAGTACAGAACTACTTAAAGATATTATACAGGGTGTCCAAATCATTTCTCTATACAGGGGTATCGGCTCCTGTTATACCTACAGCAAAAGCTTTAGAGGAAACTTAGTGCTTTTGATAGTCGGCTTCAGACTTATGATCGGTCAATTGGTTTTGGAAATATCGGCGAACAACCGAAAATGTCGAATTTTGTTTTTTGCCTGTAAATCGAAACAGCTGTCAAAATGTGATATTCTTCGGACATTTCTTAAGGCAAATAAGATAGCGTGTATGGCATGTCTCAATCGTCTTTTGTTTTCCCGCAATCTGCCTCAACTTTCATTTTGCTTTTAGCCGCCATATTTGACTAAGATTTTTGAAAAGAGCGTAAAATTTCCAACCTAGTGATGTCTCAGAAGTGCATCAAAAGTTTTGAGTATCATCGAAAAATCTTCACACGTAATGTTATGTATTAATTTTTAACTAAGGAGGTCATGATTTATCTGTCAAAAAATAAAATTAATAAGTAGGTAACGAACGCATTTTTTTCATCTAAGTAGGCTCTGGCTAAATAATTCAAATCATTAAAATTGTGTTTTAGTCAGCAGTAGGTACGTTTTCTCTCATTAACCTGATGGCCGGTATTCTCTACTCAAATGAAGAAAAGTTGACATGTTAGCGCTGTACTTGCAGTCTCACAGAAACACCGACATTACCTTGGCAAGGTACTTGAATGGAGATGTATTTGTAATTTAGAAAAATAGTAGTTAATTTAATAAACCATGGAGCCTTCGAACTATCTAGAAATGGATACAATATTGAAAATGAAAATCGCGACAGAAACATTTTACAAGGTGTGAACTAAATCTCTAGTGCATCAGTAAGAACAATAGAACGAGAAATTGGTGTGTCAAAATCAACAGTACAGAGAGTGTTAAATAAGATTGAGCACCATCCATACAAACCTACACTAGTTCAAGGACTTAATGAAACTGATTTTCCAAAGGCTAATGCGTTTCTGTGAGTGGTATACTAGGAAGTCTAATGAAAATCCGTATTTAGTAAATCATGTCTTGTGGTCCGATGAGAGTACGTTTACGAATTGTGGAGTTTTTAGTAAGCACAACACTCATCACTGGGCTGTGGAAGACCGTCACGAAGTGGCAGAGAGACGTCTACAGACCAGATTTTGAACTAACGTTTGGTGTGGGATCATTGGTAATTTAATCTAACTTACCTTTTTTAATTGGGTACCCAAACCGTGATGCTCGAGCCACCCATCTCCAAAGCTTCTCTGGAAGGGGTCAACCTACTTGACCTTTTTCTATATGAACTAAAATTCCACCTACCTTACAATATCCTCCGACGCACACGCCCCTGGTGCCCCTAGGAGCTGCTTTTCCCGTGTGTGTCACCGGGTATAAACAGGGAGTCCCATCTATCACAGTCTTGTTTAGGGTGGCGAAGAAGTTCATTCCGACAGCTCTGCAATTTAGGGCGCATTCGTCTTTCACTGAAAAAAAACATAAATTATACAGGATGTGCGATGTAGAAATACCGCAATATATCAGTTGAATCGGGACACCGCTGCTGTAGACACTTTGTTAATCCAGTTTTTAAAACTGACTAAGATTATTAGAACTTGAAAAAGCCTCCCTAGGCAGATTGTTCCACAATCTCGACACCCTAAGGACAAATGAGCGGTCGTATCGACCAGTTCTGGTTTTACCAAGTTCAATACGGTTAGGATGGGAAGTATCGTGTGGCAGCATGCTGGAAGAAAGCTCTAGGGAGCAAATCCTCATGACGTAGCGGTAGAAGAGAACCAGATCGCCGAGGCTCGTCGGTGCGAAAGGATCCCGAGACTGTCCGTTAGAGAGAAGTCGCCGATCAGTCGGACATCCTTTTCTGAACAGCATTGAGCACGGATAATGTAGTCGGGGCAGCAGGATCCCAAACATGTGAGAAGTACTCGAGGCCAGGCCTCATCTTGGCCTTGCACATAGTCAGCTGGTTTTTGTGGAGAAAGTACTTCTCAGCCATGGACTACTATCAAGTCTTTGGGTTTGTAGCATACTTGATGTAAGCAATTCGGGAAGGCAATCAAAATGGTGGATTTCCAGTCGTGTCAGAATTAGGTACCAACTTGCTTATTTTCACTTGTTAATTGTACGCCGGATTCTAAACACGTTTCGTGTACAATAGCTGAGTCTACCCGTTTAAGAGATGCCTTAGATGTGCAAAAAAATGCTAGCGTCTGCCATACGATCTGCATCGGTTTTCCTATAGTAGAGAACTTACCTTACTATTATTATTATTATTATTATTATTATTATTTACATGGAATAAAGCAGGTTGTAGGTTTTGAAAATCGATCCCGTAGCGGCTAATCTGCAAGCAAGAAGCGAAAAAAAAATGACTCATACAGTTGGTCCATAGTCCCAAGAGATTTGACAACAAGGTAATCTAGCCTACCGCCCTACTGACAGTACCGACTACCCAGCAACGTGGCAACGCAGCACATTGTTACATACAAGCATATTATACACGCATTATCATTCAGTGATTCAGCTATCCCTAAGCATTCGAAGCAGACAGACGTACGCTCGTTCGGCTGCTCGGCACAGATCTATTCTGTTATTCAAGTTTTAAGGGCATTAGGTACGGGAAAATTTATCGTGTACGAAATATGTCTAATGGGTGCGTAGAAATACCGGCGTTGAACACGAATAAATTGACATATACCCTTCCTCACCCCCGACAACCTCAACATCCTATTTTAAAACCTGCTAAATGTTTTTCTGAAAGTGATTAGAATCCTCTAAGGGGTCCAAAGACTTATTTTAAAAGATTTTAATTTTTTCGTTTTGGGCCTCTTTCTCCGCCTACCACTTGACAGATTTTCTTCCTTCGTATAGCAGTAACTAACCTTGTGTGAAAATTTCTTCTCACATAACATTACCTTGAAGCTTATGTTATTGTCCTCTTTTTTACAGATATCATTAATAGCCTCTAATTGGGGGACTTCTGGATACCGTAGGGGGTCGGAGAGTTTTTTTTGGAGGTTGGTTATATTGCGACTTTTAGGCCCGTATCGTCAGTTGTTCCTACAATTGTAGGGCGCCTTTATGGCCTCCTTGATTGTCATAGTTTTCTACTTCTCTGTGTCAGCGCTCTATTTTGAGGTTATGTCACAAACATCTATTTGCATCAAATTGTGCTTGCTTTTGAGTTATAGCATGTTTTATCAGCCTGAAATTTCCTACAATTTAAAAAGAAAACATATCTTCACTATAGGAGAGCGCTGACAATCAAGGAGACCATAAACGCGCCCTACAATTGTAGGGACGACTGACGATACGGGCCTTAGTGGCCATGTTGAATAGTACCTGTAAGCAAATTCCAACTAAATCAGTCTAAAGCCATTTTCCAAAATAATACTGCGGGGTTCTGTGTATTTTCCGAGATATATGGAAATATGAGTTTTCTGTTGATAACACAATAACGTTCCACGCATCTTTCACTAACTGAATTTTAGTGATGCGAACCACGCCGAGAATAGCCATTTTTAGCAAAAAAAAGCATGAATGACAGTTAAGCGGACACTTTGCCAGGACTCGCCATTGTTAGAAAAACATCTGATTCCTGGGAAGCTTCCAGCACCCTTAAGAAGTCCAAATGCAGAATGCTTTCCTACCAGTGACCTACCTATTCGCCGCCTGTAAGCTTCGCTAAAACAACGCTTTCCTGATTCTAAAAATAGTATATTTCTCTAAACACCCATTACGCATAGTTAACTGTTTATGTACATACTCGTACAATGTGTTGCATAAGCTGAGTTAAGCATATTTATATTTTCGAGGTCCAATAGTTTTAGGAGTATTTAAAACCCTCTCGACACACCGTCTCTGATCGGAACATACATGCATACCCCATTAGATGGTACTCTCGAAAATGAACACTATTCCGGAAAACTATAAGTTTTATTCGCGTTTTATTTTCAAGTCAGGTCAAAGAAAAACTATTCTTTGGTTATTAGAGTACCATTTACTGTTTTACTTCCTCCGCCTACTCGGGAAAATTTTCTCTTCCGTCGATCTGTCTGCCTGTCTGTTGATCTGTCCGATAATCTTATAACCGCCTATAAGTTGAGAAGTACAGATTGGATTTCGATGGAATTTTAACACAATGCCAAGGACGCAAATGCTTTGGAGTTTTTTAAAATTGGTCCAGTGGAAAAAGGCCAAAAACAAAACTAAAAAAGATACTATATTTATACACCTTAGCCCCAGTAATCCTAGGCACCTATTAGGCATATTTCACTCATGATAAATGTCCCTGTAGATTGACCCTTAAAACTGTTTATGTTGAAGATCAATATCGTCAGTCACGCAGGATTGGTCATCGTAATGATCATGTGCGCCTCCAGCAATCTCTCTCAGGGAGGAGGAGGAAGGTCATTTAATTTTTTGTTATACGTGTTCGTGGCTCTTTTCTCAAATGGACTAACTTGTGTCAAATGTAGTCCTTTACGAAATCATGACAGCGTAGCGTGGGAAGTACAGTCAACATACTTGACGCCAATTTTTTTTCTTGCGAAGTTCACACACATACATATGTTCTGAGAAACAGATGTCATGGTTCTTTCAGACTCATGGGCGCAATTTCCTTGATGTTTAGTAGCAGCTAGCATGACGTGCAATTTTCCTAGTGTTCTCTTTTTTGATACCGATAAGTGGTGGTTATTGCGAGACATAGCATGTTTGCGAAGAATTAAGTTTGTTACATTAATTCACATTTATGCATAGCTTCCGGTGAAATAAGATAAGTTTACTTGCGTACTAGGGATGCCAACAATATATTTAATCTCTTCCTAATTATGGAATCTTCTACATGTCATACACACTCTAAACCTGACGAATATACAGTCGTTAACATTATAGAGTTTTTATTGTTTTGCCGCTTCGTTATGATAGCGAGATAATCCTACGTTATCCGTTATCGAAATTACTGAGAATGGGGGAGAGCTTATTTCACAGGATCATTTTTCCTTATTCAGTGCTATTGTCGGAATTCGTAAAGCTGGGTAAGCTTAATTGAAATAACTTCAAGTCATAAAAAGATATTGGTTGAAATATAATAGAAATTTGAGCTCTAGATCTCAGATAAAGATTTTTATTGTTGTTCCGCTGGTTTTGTGGTCACTTGTCGTTTTGTTTGATTCTAAGCCAAACTGTTTCTTATACGATATGGACACAAATACTTCATCAACTTTTCCATGAAAACGTTCAACAATTAAAAATTTTGGGGTTAGGTGCAGCCTGTTATGACTGACAGTAGTCAGTACTGTTGAATTACCAGGATTAACTTTAGTGCTCATAAATACTCTTTTTTCCCAACCATACTTATTTCCTGTTACACTAAATACTCTCAATTGATAGGCATTCCGTTAATTGAATACTTACCTTTTAAGAAAGGCTCCCATTGGTGGATTGCTCCTCGGAAGGTCTTAGCATTAAAGGCCGCGCATTGTTCATGACGAAAATCTGTTCGTGACGGACATTCCTAAAACAAAAAAGCACGTCAAATTCACTACTTCGGATTGGCAAAGTTTCTCATCATTTCCAATTCTGTACTACGATTGAAAAACTGGTCTTTTATACATTTCTGCATAAAAGACTATAAAGTGCGTTTCCCGTTATCAAATATTTCTTCCAACAATTACACTATAGAACACATAGCTATTTTAAGGCGTATTCATTATAATATAAAAATCTGTGATCTGAGTGTAAACTCACTTTCCATGTAAACCGATCATGTAGATTCAGAGCCCAACACCAATTTGGTGTTGGAATTTACTGGTGGCTTCAGGTGGTTACCTTGACTTCGTGCTTAAATCACTAAAATTCTTTCACTATCATATTTGATTTCAGCATCCCAAATCACCGCATTGTAACAAGCTTCTCTAGCATGTAGACAGCGCTAACGAAAATGGATTTTGATCACCTCAAAGTCACATAGTAGTACAATTCTTCATTAAATAATAGAACGTACATGATAAACAGGACGAGATACGTTCAGATTGAATTCGGATTTGGTTTTAGCAACCCAAAGTATGTAAAGTGGTGTCTATTTGAGCCGTATTTGAAGTACTAATTTTTAGTGTCACTAGATAGGAGTATTACATTACAAAACTGATCAGGAACTTAAGCACAACTAACATGTCAATGACCTGGCTTTCTGAAACATCAAACCGATCCACAGCTTTGCTGACGCCAGCACTCTATATGCAAGAATTCGAGTGCCAAGCCGATCTCTGCCAGTGAGGTGGAGAGAAGACTAGCAGCGACTTCCTCTTTGACGAGAGATTTGGAGGTTGCCACTGCTTGAGAACACAACAACCTGGTAGAGTTTAATCCTTCAAAAACACCTTGTCTAACAAGAAGCGCGCTAGCACTCATCCGGATTAGATGGATAGCCAAGTTCTACCAGAGAGCCGTTCATTTTGGTCTATTCGGAGTTCAGACCAGCGGTGACTTGATCTGGCACAAACACGCGTCGTCAATTGCGGCAGCAGCTGGGAAAATGCTGGGCGATTTTTTTCGTGCTACGATGTACTTTCTCCATATTACCTCCTCAACCTGTACAAGGCCCCGAGTTCGAGTACTGCTCACATGTTTGGGATTTTCTAACGAACACTTTGGGGTCCCTTTCGCACCGATGGGCTAATGGCGATCTGGCTCTCTTCTATCGCTATATCAACGGCTCTGATCTTCAGAACACTTCGCCACGATGCCCTCGCGCGATGAGCCTATGAGACAAACCCACCTGACTTCGCCATATCATCCTAGCCGTGTCGTAACCGTACAATTAGAACTGGTGGTCCTTTGCCCTTGTTCTACTAACCTGAGGTTAGGTTCAAAAATCGGATTAACAAAGTGTCTTTAAGCTCCTGTGCTGCCTCGATAGTCAGACCTACACGGATGTTTCGATATAAATAACTAATAGTTACAAAACACACTTTTATAGCTAACCGAACTGAAAAGTAGGAAATAATGTTTAACTACAAAGAGCTTATATTACAGTAGTAGATGGTTAAACAATAAATCATAATGACCTCAAAATAAAATTATAATAAAATTTAAGTTATTAACAGAATAATTCAATTCAGAGTAAAAAGCGTGGGGTGCTTGATATATTAAATGTTACAATCATTCTATTGACAACTATCTATGAGAGGAGAGATATGAAAATGCACACCACGCTTTTTGCCCTGAATTGAATTATTCTGTTAATAACTTAAATTTTATTATAATTTTATTTTGAGGTCATTAATTATTAATTGTTCGACCAACAACTAGTGTAATATGAACTCGTTGTATTGAAATGCCTTACGTATCATTTCGTAATCCAATCATTTCATTTAAAGCTTCACTGTTTCACTGTTGCATGGGATTTTTCCTGTTAAGCAATGAACTTCTTCAATCTGAATACCGTCTAAGATCTTACACGACCAAGTGCTACATAAGCTTGTCTAGCAGCAAACAGTCGCGAGCCTAGATAAATGACTACATGATCGACTGTTCAACCTTGTATCTTGTGGACAGTTGAAGCCCAACTCAGGATTAATGACAACATTCGCAATGAACAAGGTGGGAATGCACTACCTTGAAAAAGTATCTGCCTCCGTTGTGCCGAGTGCCCAAATCAACAAAGATTAAGTCCGAAGCTGCGCGAATGCGCAGATCGCGCACTAGCTCTATCTCTCTTACTCTCCTACAGAGGATCTATAAACGAATTTATCAATCCTCGCGGTCCTAATAAGGATAATGTAAAACTGTTTTCAAATAATTGAATTGTCATCGGTCCTGGATACGTGTGCGAAGTTTCAAATTAACCAAGCCTCTGGAAATTGGTGAACATTATGCTCAAAGATTCCGTTACATAGATACATACAGGCCAAGCTAATAAAAGAGTGATCAAAATAATGTTTTTTGATTAGAACCTAACAAAATCGAGGTATTGGGCAATTCCATCTCCTGGACATTTTGTATGAATTTTTGAAAGTACCCCATCAACATCAGTATTACAGTCCGTCATAAAAGCATCTGGCTCAGATAATTAAATATTGGATGAATTATTGTCAGTTATTGCTATAAATGATGACATTAAAGAGACTAAGTAATTGACCGTCGTGGATTTTAAATGTTTTAATTCGTCGGACTTCGTAATCGATCGTTTTTATTACCTGAATGTCAATGCGTGGGATCGACATTGTGATTATGGTACATGCCCAATTTGGCAACTACAATAGGTAGTGGCCCCTACCTTTTATGGATCGTCTCTTTTTTATCGCACATCTACTTTGGTTTCAATAATAATATCAATATTCCATTAGGGCACCTCATGATCTCTCATGTAGGATTGATCAAGCTCTTTGTTACATTCTACTTTTATGTGGAATATTTTTTGCAAAATGACAATTCTGCCAATATTTGGTCTGAGTTTACATGCAGTTGTCGTTTTTACAAACTCCATCACCTATTTCTCATAAACTAACCATCTGTTTGCATTGGTCCTATCAGGAAGGCTAAATAGTTAGAGGGACCCATTTTATATACTCTTTGTGCAGGGTCCTTCTTCCATCTAACCCTACTTTATGATTCAATAAAGAAATAACAATTTGAAAAAGAAAAACTGTGTTTGTATGTAACTAATATCTTGTGTGTTTTTAAGCACCTTATATTCATCAGTATACCTAATATGCGAGAAATAAAGGAAAAATCATTGGTTATTTTACCTTATCGTTGCAGAGCCGTACTCTTTTATACAGCCCTACGCAACCGCCTATTGGTCTCACGCTTTGCCGTCGTCCCCTTCGTCTCTTTATAAGCCTGAAAAAATAATAATCTTTTACATATCTAGGTTGAGAAGTCAGCTACTAGTTCAACTTTTATTAATTTATTTATTTATTAAAATTCGGGGTGTGCACAGCCAAAGCCATCGCACACCCACTGTTACAATATAATATCAGTACTGTGTACAAAAGTATGAGATGTAAAGATATATACGAAAAATGACTAATGTGACATGATTATTGATTTAAAACATTGGATTGGAAAAGGCTTTAGATACATTGTGATCGACTTGTTTGCTATCTGTCTCTGTAACCACGAGCAACTCGTCGGTATGGTATAGATCTAGTAGTTTCCTGGAGTCGTTTGAAAAACTCAACATGCTGTGCGGATGCTTGCGAACAATATGACGATCTCCACCTACCAGTGGTTTATCCAGATAGATATCGCACCACCAAAACGGTAGATCCATGAAGTATCCGGAATGCAAGTATTCTCAGAGCAGACCAACAATAGCTTCCTATGGATACGAGTATACGCATAGATAGATAGATAAGTGGGCGTGTTTGCTTTCATCTCTGTAACCACTACCAACTACAGACAGCACTGTTTCATGCTCATTAGCCACTCATCAGTCATTTTGGTGGTGCGTCATCTATCTGTGCATTGCGCAGAACATTGAGCAGTTATGGGCCGGTAACATTATCTTTCATCGTACGGAATGATGACGATCAATTTATCAAAGCATTAATAGATTGAGATCGTTAGTTTTTTACCGACATTCGCATTTCATTAAGCTTATTCACAGCAGTCACGGTACTTTGGTACTCAGAATTTTTCTTCAATTTGCTACCTCCTCTTCAAATATTTTTGGGGCTCATTCATAATCATGATACTACACAAAAATTTTCCCCTTGCCAATGTCCAATCGGCCTCTGAGAAAAATTCCTGCGAGTGCCTATGTCTGAGCCGTAAGCCTTCCAGCCAACGCATTTGCGGTCGACAGGACCTAGACCCAGCCTTCTTCGCGACAAAGTATTCCCGTTTCGTTCATTTTTCCTTTCTTGTCTGATAAAGGGCAAATATGCATGGAAATTATGCGTTTATGCGTGAAATTATGTCTAATAGGTGCCCAGAACTACCTGGATTAGAAGCGTTTGAACAGACTACTGCAAAAAAATGAGACACCTTACGCGTCCTACAGCTCCTCCCCCTCGATTTTTTAGTCCTTTTTTTTGAATTTTCAACATTGGACAGGAGTAAAGTCAAAAAACGTAGGTTTAGTGTTTTTATCATTTTTGTTCATAGCTCCACCAACACTGGATCTCTTTTTTGTTTCTGGCATAGTGGTAACCTTGTGCCAAAGTTTCAACGAAATACGAGCTATACGTTTCAAGTTATAGTAGATTCAAGGTCCAGCAGACAGACTGACGGAAATGGGTGACATGGTTTCTCGTGATGTACAGGTCATGTAATATGAAAAAAACTAAAATATGTTCGAAAATGTTTTCGTAATACTCCCTCATCATATGGAAAGTAAAAATGTCCGGTTTCATTTCGCAACCCTTACTCTAAGGATGCGTGACCTCACTATACAGGGTGACTTTGAAGTTGAGTCATTAATTTTCAGATAATGATTGTAGAAGGAAGATAAACCAAAATATGTGTGTAAAAATAAAAAAAATAAAAAAAAAATGTTTACCTTGTTTTATAAAGTATCCTCCCGACAAGTATTTCAGTGCGGACCTGTATTTGATCGTGAGGTCTTGGAGCAGCGGCATGCCGTCACCTGATTCACGAGCCCGTTGTACTACATTAACAAAGGCACGAGAGGTTGGTTGCACTCGATTGGGAAACCGATCTGCATAAACATGTGCCATTTTTTATTTCGTTTGAGCCACGCAACAGACACCACTATTCACTGACACTGACTGTATACAAATGAATAAAATAATTGTAAAAACATCGTTCCAAATTCTTTCGCTTTTTTGTTTCCGATGCGATGAACCGATATAGCGGATTATATCCGTTGTCGCCAAACACGAGCACATAATATTATTATTGAGACAGGGCGGTACTCAAACTTCCAAAGGGCTATAACTTTGTTACTTTAATTTTACCAGAAAAATGGTAAAGGAAAAAAACATTTCTTTTGATCAGATCTACTCACTGTTAAAATAAATGACTCAACTTCGAAGTCACCCTGTATATACTAAGTGGTATATAATAAAGACCACCCAGTATAATGAATTTATTACAAGGATTTTCTAGGCACTGTTCGCTTAGGTTAGGACAAAAAAAACTCAGCTATTCAACTATAACGGCAAAGTGGTTTTTGTGTCATTGTCTATTTTGACGAAAAAGCAAGTAAGCGACGGTTGTGTTTTGCAGCTCTAATTGACATTTAATCATCGTACAACACGTTGTGAAGAGCTGCTTTAATCTTTCCATTATGCTTAAAGTAAAAGGACGATTGATTTTAACAACTTAGAGAGTTTAAGTGGATGCGAATAGTAGGCTTGTATGAGGCTGGCCGGTCCTCCAGAGAAATAGCCACCAGAAGTCTAAATACCAGGTGGTTTGTTGTCCGGCATGGAATCAGGAAGACCGTACACGAAAAGTTAGAGATGCAGAGCGTGCCAGAAGAACGGTTCCACACCAATATGACCGCCTCAGAGTTTTGGCTCTACGGGACTGCTTCTCGTCCACAAGGTCAATTGCGGACCAATGGCTTGGAAAGCATGGAAAGCCTATTACATTGCAAAATGTTCATTACCGGATGAACAGTCTGGGATTTATTCCATCCTCAGTTTGTCCTACCTCTCGCTCCTAGGCACCTAAGTGATTGACTGACTTGGTACAGACATCGGTTGAACTGGGACCTCAAATGGATGAACAGTGATGAATAAAGATTTTGTTTGGGCATGCATGATTTTGTGCAAGGGTGAGAAGGCGACGAGGTGAAAGACAAAACTCTCAGTTTTCTATGCAAACGCATGGGCGTTTTTTTCATTTTGAGTTTTGAGTATAGAAAACTGGACAGAAATAGTGTTTTGATGGACAGCCAAGAGATTATTTGATGGAGAAGACATTATTTAAAATCAATAAAGAAATACCGCTACCAGAGCAGGAAGATTTAATACTTGGATGAAACCTGGATAAATGCAGGACATACAAAACTTAAGTTTAGGTTGACTCTACAATTAAATCAACAAGAAAAACCTTCTTAGATGGTCTAACCACTGGCCTAAAGAATCCGTCAGGTACGTGTACCTAACCAATTCGTCATTTGTGTTGTAAAAATGGTGTCAAGTATACTGAATCTATGAGCCCACGCTAAAAACTTAGCTACACTAAACTTAGGTATATTTAACACCTGTTAGATGCTCTGCTTGCATTATTATTAGTTTTTTTGAATACTATATGAAATAATTATTTCCAGGAAAAGAATAACAATTTGTTATCCGTCACATTGGCATGGGCATTTGAGTCAAAGAAAACGACCGACTACCAGGAAGAAATGGATGGGAGTTCATTTGAACGATGGTTTGAAGAAACGCTCCTAAAGCTTTTCGACAATGCCGTCATTGTACTTGAAAATGCTGCATACCACACTAGAAAACTAGAAAAAAATCCCACAATGTCCACAAGAAAGGCAGAAATTCAACAGTGGCTCCCCATCACAAGACATTGGTTTCAACGAAAATATGGACAAATCAGAACTTGTCCATCTAGTCATGCAGCATGGATATAAATATAATCTTAATGTTATTGACGAAATGGCTAAGAACCAAAATAAGACCGTTTTAAGACTACCCCCTTATCACTCCGAATTAAATCCCATTGAAATGATTTGGGCAAATATAAGAAACTATGTGGCTTCAAACAATAGAACATTCAAATTTTCTGACGTGAGAAATTTGTTTTATGAAGCTGTCAACAGAGTGACGGCAAACCATCGGAAAGATTGCATCAGTCATGTCCAAGAGACAATCGAAACAGATGTGGGATCTGGGCAATATGATCGATATTCAAATTTAACATGTCATAATTAATATTAACCATTTGGACGACGATTCAAGTTCTTCCAACGAAAAAGGAATTTTCTAAAGTATGTGTACTTCTTCTATAAAAATAATCATTTATTTAGTTAGATTATTCCAATACCATTGAGGAAAATACGGACCTGTACAATCTCGCTTTTGGGCATGTTGTGTTTTGTCTGGGCGTAAATTGTCTACGAATGGGGTATAGTTCCTTACTGACATCTTGTAGGAAAACCCACATAATCTCATAAAAGAAATCTACATAATGTCAAAAAACGACAATCTCACTTGGTAGGTCACCTTTAATGTTCATCAGACAGCAATACCGCAACGCGTTAAATCAAGGAGGTGAGGAAACTGCATGTTTTGCCTTATATACGGATGCTCACGAACCCACTTTTCTACCAAGATAATGCCACTCTTTTTTTATAAACGACACCTGTCCTTAATATGGACAGTCTAACACCAAAACCCAGTTCGTTATATTCATCGCAAGTCTGAACAGTATGACGGCGACATATGTTGAAAGTACATAGGGAGAAATAAAAAAATAAGAACTTGAATTAACATGCTCTGTGATGAATGGGACGAGGTGTGGTGATAAATCATGGAAGATGCACCATAAAAGAGCAACGAAATTGATTATCGTCGGTTTGAAGGTGCTAATGAATACCATATTTGAAGAGGCGGCTTGTACGATTCATCATTCTATTAATTGCAATGATTCAATGGTGGGTTTATGAGTAGGGAGAAAAGGCATTACAACGAGCAATATTCAACATTTCAGATACTAATTTGCTTTCACACTAGAGTGCTAACTCTTTTGGTGTAATTCTTGAACTGACAACAGTACACCTAAGCATTGATAACCAAATTCCGAAACAAATTTCGGCTGCTATGCCCTTAAGAATTTTCATCAGTACGCCTTTCAGGTAAATGTGCATACAGGGTCAGTTGTTAGTGTGTAATCGGTAGATAGTTCCGTTATTTTAG